TTATCAAGACAGCCCAAGAGGATCAAGATCAAGATCAAGACTCATGTTCTTTCCTAGTTCTTTTACAATTCCCAAATGTATTATAAATACTGTTATTTTCCCAAAGTTATTCATCAATTCATACTTCAAATTTCAGAATTTTTTCAAGTTCTCTTCTTCCTATTTTCGCCACCTTTTCTCTCTCCTAGAGAAATCGGTGTTATTTGCTAGGTGCTAGCAAACGCCCGGTGCTTGCATAGCCAGCTCCAGTTCTCATTGCTTCCACGCTGCGTCATCTTTACATCTCCAAAAGTATTTTGGAGTTTATTTCAAGGAAAGTTCGGCTTCAAGGTAAATTCCACCAAGGCCAACCAAGGCTGATTCATTGTGCCGGTTCGGGTAGGATAAACCCCTAGACCCTAGAACCGACTTAGGTGGGGGTCAGTTCCAAGAATTTGGAACCAGACCCTACTCTATAAAAAATCGAATAAGACATATTCAAGATTAATTCCATTCGATTATGGGTAAAACTTATCCATTTGCTCACTCCTAATGGTGTTGTTGATATATTTCGGTGTTTTTAATACTAAAACCATGTAGGGATTATTAGCATCACATTGAATAAAAAAGGGTAAATATAAAAGCCCCCTATGAGGTTTCTTACAATTATAAAAATCTCTCCTGAGGTTTTTATTCACTATAACCTCCCCTATAGTATTAAAGAAACTTACAGTTACCTCTCGTTTGTTATTGTTTTGGACTGAAAAGGTTGGTCTAATGCATTAATTTTTTTAAAAAGTAATCATTTTCCATTCAGATGGAAATTCACTAAAAGCATTTTTCACTTTTAATTAAAAAGTTCCCCAAATTAGATTGTGGAGAATAAAATAATTTTACTATAAAAACGTTGTATATATAGTGCAAATTTTAGAGCTTCAATAAAGCTTTAATAACTTGGTGAGCCTCCCCTTCGATCAGCACTCTATCCGGTTGAAGTTCCAGTACAAATTTTGTTGCTCTTGCATAGACGAGATCACCAAAAGGTGGTTCCTAATGATGCATCCAATAGCCAAAGCATTAGTACCTGTTGCCCCGTCAAAATTCGCTTTACACCAGCTAGGGGAAAGTCCAATAATGGGGTTGACCTTCTGAAGATGAGTTAGCAATAGACTGATGAGTTAGGCTTTTAGGTGAATTTGATACACTTGTTATTTAATATGGGCACATGACATTGGAAACATGCAAATAAGTATGTAAATGTATTGAGCGTATATAAATTATAAAGTTAGATTAGTTTTGCACTAATAAATTTATCTTCTTACTAAATAGACTTTTAACAAACATAAATTCCAATAAAACATATGCAATTTTTTTATCAAAAACCCACTTGATGGCAAATTTACTTATTTTTTATTGATGTACTTTTACATATTATTATCAATATAAATATGCATTGATCTGTCATTTGTCAATGCATAAATATAATGTTGCCAAATACAGGCAAAAGTGAACCAAAGTGCAAATTTATCCGGAACCAGGATTTACACTCCATTTGCATCGTTTCCAAACGCAACCTTGGGAACGATGCAAATATATAGAGTATAAAATGGTTCATATAAATTGTAAAATTGGGTTAGTTTTGCACTGACAAATTTACCTTTTAACCAAACAGAGTTTTAGCTGTAATAGATGCAAACATGAATTCCTATAAAGCATATTTTTTTTTATCAAAAGCCCACTTGAATGCAAATTTACTTTTTTTTATTGTTGTAATTTTACATCTTATTATCAATATAAATATGCATTGATCTGTCATTTGTCAATGCATAAATATAATATTGCCAAACACAGACAAAAATGAACCAGAGTGCAAATTTACCCTGAACCGGGATTTACACTTCATTTGCATAATTTCCTAATGCAGCTTTAGTGACACTATGAACTTTCATCCAATCAGTCTACCAGCTCAGAGGGATCTACCTCCTCCATTGTCCTCCTGAATCTCGAAGTTTGTCCCAAACCAAATCGTTCGTGTCACTATACAATTGAATCTTTACCGGTCGTTTTCCCAACTCAGCTTTAACTGGTAAAATATTGTGAATGCACCTCCAAAG